TTAATGCTGGCATGGACTAGTTCAAGGTTTCTGGTTCTGCATCCCCCACAATACCAAAGTTTTTAACACCTAGTGCAATTTGTTCAAATTTGCGTTTCAAATGGACTGTTTTCAAGTCAATTCAACATCAACTTGTTAGTTATCCAACTGCTTACCACTTGACTCCAACACATGTTGCCAAAACTCAATTTGTCTGATTTCCTGAACCACCAATGAAGAACTTTCCCGCATTGCAAGTCTGAACTGGGTAAAAAACACGTGTCAAATGAACTTTAAAATCAAATTTTGCAATCTTTTTCTGCGTCAAGTTAAAGTTGTAATGACTTGAAGTCAGATCTCCTGATCTTAAAATCGAATAAATTCGGTTGGTACTGTCTGTCTAATTAGATTTTTCTCTGTAACAGTGACTAAACAAGAGCCTGTTTTGAGGAAAAACTGACTCCTCCAGCGTTGTTAGGTCCGCTGCCTCAACAGTAACGGTTCACATTTTCCACCTTCACCGTCATGTACTCCTGTCCTTAAGCGGCCGCATGCCGCCTCCCCTACTTCCTTGAACTAGCATTTGAAAATTTTGCAATTGCAGTTGCAGTGCAGCCTACGGAATTATACAAGTCATGTCTATCTAGTCATCATGTACTTCCATATCTCCTATTATATAAACTCAGGCAATCAGTTTATTGTTAACACAGGCAGTCCTCAAAAATGGAGTTGCAAGCTATGGATAGAGCTAGGACACATCAACCCTGTGCAGCTTGCAGGACGCTGCGCCGGAGATGTGACAACAATTGTGTCCTCGCCCCGTATTTTGCAGGTGATGAGATTGAGAAATTTATTGGTGTGCATAAGGTCTTCGGAGCTAGTAATGTTATCAAAATGATTCAGGTAGGTACCACAAAACTAGAAATCATTTGAGATGACGAACTTTTAATGTTTGTAAATAATAAAGTGTAGTTTTTATTCTTTGTGGGTTGATATCATCAGATGGTGGAGGAGACGAAGAGGGAGGACACCGTGAAGGCTTTAGTATATGAAGCAACAGCAAGGCTCAGGGACCCGGTTTATGGAAGCACCAGAATCATTTTTTACTTGCAGAAAATGGTGGAGGAACTGAAAGCTCAGCTGGAATCAACTAGGGCTAAAGTTTTTGAGGTCCAACGGCAAAAGGATGAATTGTTGGGCATTTTAGTGAGTGTTAATCAGCTTGATCTTCTATCAGACATGGATGATCCATGGTTTTATGGTGGCAGTTTAGAATTGGATTGTGATACTATTATGGCCTTCGATCCTCCCCAACTCCCAACAGAATGTGACTGGATTTCATGAATCTCTCCCTATACTATATCATGTTTCGTTATATGGTTATAGTTTAGGAAAACCTTAGGCAACTTATTCTTTTTTTCTTTTTTGTTAAAATAGATGTAACTTGCAATGTATTAGGGTAGAAAAAAATGTATTGGATCTGGAATTCTTATTGTTTTATACTTTTATTAAGAAATAAAAAACGATCTTCTCAATGTCTTTGTAAGCATAGTTGCTGTTTGGTCGGTAGAAACCTGTCTATTTTGTTTGGACTGTTAGGTATTCCAAACCCAAATGCTTGCATTTTACTATTAATCTTTATCAATCCGATTTTAAAAGCTTATCCCTATATCAATATTTGAGTGCTAATATATTACTATCTTAAAATTTGAATTTTATATCTTAGTAGTTGTCTCCTTTCACTAGAAGTAAGAGGTTATGAGTTTAAATCGCATGACATACGAGTGAGGTGGAATAAGAGATGAAAAATAATTGCTTCTCATTATGCAATCAAAATTTAAAAAAAAAAAAAAAAAACTTGAATTTTATATCTAATTTACAAGTAGGTAATTGAACCATAATATATAATACATTTAAGCAAATTAACAAAATATGGTTGGTATGGTAGAATTTATTTTTTTTTTATAAAAAGTAAAAATTTTATTTAATCAAAAACTATATGTACAATTAAACAATAAATTGTTATAAAAAATAAAAATTTAAATTGTTATTATTTAACAATTTTCTTTAGTCCCCGTTGTGAAGCAACAGTCAATGGTTCACAATAGTCAATGATTAAAAGGAAGAGTTTGGTCCACACTTGGCCCTTCGGGTCAAGTGACCTTAGGGCTGCCTTACAGTGCATTTCCCCCTCCCCATGGTGGGTTCGATACCCACCCTTGTAAAACTTGGTTAAAAAAAACAAAAAAAGAGGAAGTGTTTGGTCCAAACAACCCCAAGATCCTGTATCTTACATAAGCCCTTACATCTTCACCCACAGCTATCTAAGAGGAATAGTTTGGTCCAAACAACCCCAAGATCCTTTATCTTACATAAGCTCTAACATCTTCACCCACAACTATCTCAATCCTTCTGTTCCTTTTCATCCAGATTTGGTAAATAGCAACATTCCAAGCCATTTTTATCAAATTGATGATATACAATGATTTATTTTTCAACCTCTTTCCCACCCATTTCAATAACGCTTGTCATGAGTCCACAAATGGTATTCCTATTTTTCGCCTTATATCTTGTAAGATTCTACTAGTGTAACAACATTTTAAAAAGAGTCATCTTTATCTTCTTCTTTTTTTTCACCTTATACGTATAAAATTAAACATAGTTTTGAAAAATAAATATATTACTAAGTCAAGTTCAATGTTCAGGTATTATAATTAGCGATCCTCACATTTTGATCTAATGATATTGATCTTGAATTAATGAAATTATTTTTATAAATTGTAATTTCAAATCTCATAAATTCTTTTTTCCTATTCCCCCTTCTCTCAAAAAATGTAATCCTATTTAAAATATATATATATTGTAATTAGCAGCTAAAAAAATTAGTTTCTTTAATGGACTACACGTAGAGGTGAGTGGTTAAAATTAATTGGGTATAATCTTGAAATGCCTCTTGCTCCAAGTTATTTTAAAAAAAAAGTTAAATGTTAATTTTGATTCCTCAACTTTATAGAGTTGCACTTTTTTAATCTCTTAATTATTTTTTGCACTTTTTTATTTCTTAACTCTAAATATTGCATAATTTTGGTCCTTCTATCAATTAAGCATGATGTGACCATTAAATAATTCTACATGGCATTTTCTTTTAATTCTTTTGATGATGTGGCAATAATATATCTTACAATTATATTACATGGACAAATAAGAATATCATATTAGTTGAATATTTATATTTTAATAAAAAGAAATAAAAACAAACAAAATAACATTATTAGCCCTCACCCTCTCAATCCTTCTTTCTTCCTCTTCCTATCTCTGGCTCGATGGTTCCACTGAACCCAAATTTGTTGGTTTGGTGGAACCCAAATTTGTTGGATTAGAATGGTGTGTTTATGTTGTCTTAGTGGATCTTATTCAGTTATTTTTTTAGTTTTTGGGTGTTTCTATGGTTTCTGATTGAGGGCTATCTCTTTTTTTCTGCTTGCTATTCAAAAAAAAAAAAAGGAAAGACTTCTGGGAATGGTTGTTGCATTGAGATTATATTATGCTACAATGTTATCCATGAGATTTTGAGAATTAATCATGATTTCACTAGTAGAAAAGGCAATAACAAATCGGTTGGGTTCCGTCGAACCCAGCTGCTGAGTTTGGTGGAACCTAGATGGACTAGGTTCGACAAAACCCAGCTTTGCTGGGTTCAAAGAAACCCAGCTACTGGGTTCAAAGAAACCCAGCTACTGGGTTTAGCACTAGATTCTATTGATTTCCATTCTTTTTTAGAGTTGGGTTTGTCAAGACCACCATGTTTTCTCATTCTTTTTTTTATTTCCATTCCCAATTCTTGATAAATTTGGGAGTTGATTTACAATTTGATTACATTTATGTTGGAATTTCATTAGAATTTGATTAACATTGTTTATTGAGGAGTTAATTTGATGAAGTTGAGATGAGAGAGCATTCAGAAGAGAAGAAGAAGATATGGGTTAAGATCGATTTTGTAGATGGAGAGGAGATGAGAGAGCATTATAGGGTTAACAAACATTTTACTTCTTTCTCGATTCTTTATAGGTAATGTGGGACCATTTGAGGGGATTTGGTGTGTTTAATTCGCGCAAATATGACATGTGATGATGTTTTTGTCCATTTCAATACCTTTTTAAGTTTGTCTTTGCCATATCATAAAAAATATATAAAATGCCGCGTAGATGGAGCTAATAGCCCAAACTAACAAAAGGATCAAAATTGTGCAGTTTTTAAAGTTAAGGGATCAAAAAGTGAAAAAAATAATTAATGGATCAAAAAAGTGCAATTTTATAAAGTTGAGGGACCAAAATTAGCATTTAACCTAAAAAAAAGTGCATCCGTTAAATGGTATTCCAACGTAAATACGACATTCGCATCGTATGTTTATCTCTCAACTTCACCAGCTTCTGTTGGTGTAGAAACGGCATGTCAGAGACAGGCTCCAGTTCTCGAAACGCAGCTTTTCCGGTGGATCCCACTGACCGCCTCCCGCTCTCCTCCTCAGATCCGAGGCCATCCCGGCCGCCCCGGACCGATCCAATTCGTCCATCGACTGGCTGCCGGACTTCGCCGGATACTCATGGGTGGCATACGGGTCCTCTTCTCTTCTCGTGATTACTCACTTCCCTTCCCCTTTGTCTCAAGAAGAAACCTCAATGGCCCCATTTTCCGCCAAGTTTTCGAGCTATCTGCTGATCCTGTCACCGCTGTTTTTTGGTCTCTAGTCACGCCGTCCACCGGCGAGCTCGCAGCCTCCTCCGGAAACTCTATCTTCGTAGTTTCTCATGACTCCGCAAGCTCAAATTGCAAAGGTATGTTCAGATTTTGTGCTCAGAGTTGCAGATTGTATAAATATGGGACTCACTAAATAGTAAATGCTAGAAGCTGCTTTAGGCTATTTGCTTCTTGCTGCGGCCCCCTCCGCAGTCCGCTTCCCGTATCTCTTCTGTCTGTCCTGGTTTGGATATCTTAAACTCGAATTTTCTTTTACTCATTCAGATTCTCTTTTGTTGGAGCCAGAATGCTGTACTTGAACAATGTACAAATGTTCAGGCAATTGAATGGACGGTATCAGGGGATGGGATAGTTTCTGGTGGAATCGAGGTTGTTTTGTGGAAAAGGAGGAGCAAATCCTGGGAAATAGCTTGGTAATTCAAACCGGAACTGCCACAAAATCTAGTTTCTGCTACCTGGTCTATTGAAGGACCTTCAGCTACTGCAGCTTGTTGGAAGGAATCACAAATTGAAGAGTCTAGTGAGCTAAACAAATGTGTTTTTGTTTGTTATGGTGATGGGAGCTCTGCAAAAGCCGTGCTGCGTCATCCTCAACCCATCTCAATGGTTCAGTGGAGGCCATCCTCAGGGAGACAATCATTTAGGGATGCTAAACATCTACCAAGGCACATATTACTTACATGTTGCTTAGATGGAATTACGAGGTTATGGTGTGAGATAGATGGTGGAAGAGTTAAAAAGGCTGGGAAGGAAAGAGCTACTGATTGGAAAAGCAACAGGCGATCTTTTTGTGTTGCTGCTGTAATCGAGATAAATCAAGCCTTGAATGGATTCCTAGGAGCAGATATATCTTTGACATGGGCAATAGAAATTGGTGATATAATTAAAAACAGTGAAGGAACTAATCAAATTTTCACTATGCGAGGATATAAGCATGACATGGCTGTTAGATGTGAATGGTTAATTGGGGTTGGTCCTGGAATGTTGGTCACTTTCTGGGCTATCCACTGTCTTGATGACATTTCGCCAATGAGGTTTCCTCGAGTAACATTGTGGAAGAGGCGAGAAAAGCCTGGAAGTTGGATTGTCAAATTTGAAAGGCCTCTTGCTTCTTAAGAAGGCTTTTATAATGAGGAATTGCTTGTCTGGACCACCAACTTTATGCTCTTTGCTCTAGTTATTAGCATGTAAATCTCTGTCCTGGTCTTTGTTGTATACAAAAAAATCAAATGATGCTGTGGATGCATCTCTTAATGAATCTAGAGCAGAGAACTTCTTATCACATTCAGTATGTGGTGTTTTAAATATGGATGGTCATACTGGAAAAATTTTGCAAGTTTCTGTACATCCTTATGTTAGTGAAGTTCAATTGCTGTTTCTTTGGATGCTAGTGGGCTGCTGCTGTTTTGGTCATTATCTTCCATCTCCAACAGTATTCTTGGCCTTCCAGCATTGAGTTCCACCTGGAAAATTTGTGGAAAACTTGCAACTGATGGTTCATGTTCTAAATATACAAGCTTGAGTTGGGCACCTTCAGTATTGCATGAAGATCGAGTTCTTTTTATGGGACATTCTGGTGGAATCAACTGCTTTATGGTAAAGATTTCTAAAAGTGAAGAAAATGATGTAACATGTCACTATGTATGCACTATGCCTTTTACTGGTCAAGGTCCTTGTGAGGATAGACCGGCTGAAATCTATTCAATACCATTGTCCCTGTCCTGTAAAGAAACATTCACCTATAATAGATTTATGCTTTTGGGAATTTGGATCAGAGGATTTCGGGCTCTATGCTGGGAAATCAACATTCATTCTTATGATCTAGGGGGAAGCCTCTGCAAATGCAATTTTGATGATAATGCTGCTGTTGAATACACAGCACTTTAAAATTTGAAGATGAGTTTGCTGGGAGAAGATATTGTTTTCATGTTGATTCTTTATCTTTGCAGTTCCCTGAACCTCATAAGTCATAACAATAATCATGTTACAAGTTTTGCTGTGATCTGTCCAGGTGGTTTGACTGCTGTGCATCAGAAGTTAGCTCGTAATGGTGATCTCTGTAACAAAAGTCCTGCATATATCATGGCCACTGGCTGTTCTGATGGCAGTTTAAAACTTTGGAGATGTAATTGCAGTAAATTGTCAACTTCTTGCACACAATTTCTTGCAATAATGGTTTATGGTTCCTTGGATATCATATTCTATATGGATATCCTTCTCAAGGTCAGTCATAGCATGAGAATCATACAATTCACAGTTCACCCTTGTATCCACTTTTGCATAAGCCACTTCTGAGGGTGGCTGAAGATATCTCCTTTTTATTTTCACATTTTATTGCTGCTTGTAGCATAACTTGCTCCACATCAAATTCATCTAATTTTGAGGATGATTTGTCTGATAAAGTTTGTTCCAAATGGTTAAAAGCTTGGGATTATTACTTTCAAGGGGTAAAACATTCATTATGGAGTTTAAGAGCTGCAATAAAAATATTCTCTGGCACGTTTAAGGAGGATTCCATCCCAAAACTTGTGACAGTTCTTGATCTATATGAATATTATGCACAATATGCATCTGCTTGGCTTCAGAGAAACTTGAAGGGTCTCGTTCTCATGACACAATCCCTCTTCAATGGACATACACCTTATGAAGTTGATGTGTTGAATGTAAAGAAGCTTTTTCACCAGGTTTCTGATGTGGTGTTTCAGAATAGATTGACTGAGGATGTGGGGAACCAACTTCAGGTTTTTGCAGGTGAGCATGGTGGAAACGTTTCACATTCAATTCCAGAGGATGAGAGATGTCATATTATAGGGGCTTGTTTGTGGCAGCACATGTCCCTATTCATGAAACACAAATTGGGTTCAATATCTGTCAAGCTTGATGAAAATTATACTTCTGGTATTTTCCATGGAAAACGTTCTGCATGGGCACCTTTCTCAACATCAGATAGCAACGTAATAGCAGAAAAGCTCAGGTTGCTGTCATGGACAATGGCTATGGTGCTAAAAACTGCACTCCAACATGTATCTTCTTATCACATAAAACAACTAGCATTGCAACTGCAGCAGAAAGTAGAGAATGAATTTGACCCTTGCACTCTTGTATGGTTAGAAGAATCTAGACCATCTCCAGGTGCCATAAATCAGCATCTAAGTCAGGGGATTGTCAATGAAGTCACAACTAACAACACTGATGAAGGATCCATTTCTAAAATGTTATGGGATACATGTGCTGATCCTAATATGATATCAGAAAGTTTTGTGCAAGAAAAGATAAATTGGTCAAGTTATTTTCTTCTTAAGCCTTCCAAAGAATGGAGTGACGTGCACAAAAGCACCATGGGTGAACATGAAACTGATGATTGTTATAAAAATGAAGGCAGGCTAAACAACAGCTCTGCCAGTTCTGAACTTGGATCACCTTCTAGGAGTGTGTTTCAAAATGGCCATACCTCTATAAGTCCCTGGGCGAAAGATTCAAACGTTGAAAAGGAGATCTCACTTTTCCATAACCCTAAAGAAGTCTACAGGAGAAATGGGGAGCTTTTTGAGGTAATGGTCCTTTTCTTTTTCTTTTTTTATCTCCCACTTTTATAACTTTTATTTGCCATTTTGCCTGCTATGGTCCTATTTGTATCCCATGCATCAAATTTGCTGGAGATGGCAGTCAAGTTGCAGATACCATTATCTCCAGAGCTTTCTCTTATATTTGTGATAACCAAATCGTCTTCTTATTTGCTCAGGCATTGTGTGTCAACTCCATTGATCAACGCCAGACTGCACTTGCAAGCAATAGAAAGGTCAATCACTAAAAGACTAAAGGTTAAACCCCCAATTTGGTCCCTCAATTATTGTACGGACCCCCGATTTGGTCCCTAAACTAAAAAAATCCATGATTTGGTCCCTACTATTTACCAATTCGGCCCCAAGTTGGTCCTTCCATACAAAAAATAGATGACGTGTCTCATTATTAACATAACACATGACTGTTAAGTAACAGTTTTCTGCCGTTAAGTTTTCTGCCATTAAGTAAATGACACGTCAGCTGTTTTTTATTGGAAGGACCAACTTGGGGTCAAATTGGTAAACAGTAGAGACCAAATTAAGGATTTTTTAAGTTTAGAGGCCAAATCAGGCGTCCTTACAGTAGTTGAGGGGCCAAATTGAGGGTTTAACCAAGATTAAATCCTCAAAATCATTGTGATGATGCATTACGCATGTGAAGAATACTTAATATCTAATCTAACCTTTTTCAGGGCATAATTTCTTTAAGTGGCAAGATTACATGCCTTTTGGAGACCAATCAAACTACATATGGTCTGATGCTGATTGGCCACACAATGGATGGGCTGGTTCTGAGTCAACCTCAGTTCCAACTTGTGTGTCTCTTGGTGTAGGTCTTGGAACCAAGAAGGGAGCACACCTTGGCTTGGGTGGGGCAACCGTTGGTGTGGATTCTATGGCTAGACCAAGGAGAGACTTGACAGGCAGTGGAGCATTTCGAGTTCCAGGTTATGCTGGTATTGGGGCCTCTGGTTTAGGTTGGGAGATACAGGAAGACTTTGATGAGTTTGCTGATCCACCAGCTACTGTGGAAAATATAAGTACGAGAGCTTTCTCCAGTCACCCTTCAAGACCTTTCTTCTTGGTTGGCTCTATCAACACGCACATTTATTTATGGGAGGTAAGGAACTTTGGCAGTCCAAACATACTATGATTCCATGATTTTCATGTATATGATATTTATATTAACTTAGCATCAGTTTTGACTTTTGAGTATTACCCTTAAAGTTCTTATAGATTCAGTGAAGTAAAAAACTAATTCCATAATATTCTTCCTTTATTGAAGGCTGAATTTAGTACCATACTCTTTGTAATCTGTTCCTTTTACGAGCCAACTCAACCTCTGGCTTGCCTTCATTATCCTGTTCAGAAACCGCATAACAGCTGATGCTATAAGAATTTTATTTATCAAAAATGTATTTCTGAATGTATGTCAATTTCCTGGGTCTAGATACTTAAAAAAACAAAAAAAAAAAAAAAAGGAAAAGAAGAACTGGCTTCTTGTATTGTTAATTTCCTCTCAACATATAATTTTTTAATCTGCATATCTAACATCGTTGGGATTTCCTCAACACATTGGACAACCGATCTGCCTGCAACTGGCATTGATCATGAAACTGTAGGAAAATGATAATTGCAGGCTTGTGCATGTCTCATTTATTCTGTTGCTCCATTTAATGTTGTTCATGTGCCTGTGCAAGGCCTCAACAAATGCTGCAAATATGCTAAAGAAATTTCTTCAAATGCAAGATAATGGATGATTGTATATTACTTTTAGCTTTCTGGAAACTGCAAGTTATGAATCATTTATCATTATCTCTCACTCTTGATCAGCGTAGCATGAATCTGATGGAGAATGATAAATGCAGTTTAGCAAGGACAAAGCCACAGCAACTTATGGAGTGCTGCCTGCTCCTAATGTTCCACCACCTTACGCGCTGACATCAATATTAGCCGTACAGTTTGACCAATTTGGACTCAGATTTGCTACTGCAGCTCTAAATGGAACTGTCTGCACATGGCAAGTGGAGGTGGGAGGAAGGAGCAACATTCGTCCAACAGAATCATCTCTCTGCTTTAATACCCATGCATTGTATGTATTTGATTCTTTATACATTTGAAAAATACCTCCTGCTTTGCTTTGTAATACGTGTTTGGGAAATGAAACCAGATCTATGAGATTCCAAAAAAAAAAAAAAAAAAAAACAGATCTATGAGATTGGTTCTTGATTGACCCAGTACTTGGACCAAGAAAAAACTTTTTTACATAATAAGGTTGCAACGGCTTGACATTGTGTTAGCTTGTAAATATATAACGTGTGCCTCTGCGCTCCTAATTTTTTTTTTTTTTTTGACCAAGTTTACAAGGGTAGGTATCGAATCCACCATGGGGGAAGGGGGAAATGCACTGCAAAGCAGCCATAAGGCCGCTGCCTCTGCGCTCCTAATTAGTTACAAGAAATTGAAGTATTTTTTATGATACATGGATGTGACTTAGGTTACTGCGAGTGGATCAGTCATTACTGCAGCTGGATGTAGCTCCAATGGTGTTACCGTGGTTGTATGGATACTTTGGCTCCACCTGCAACCTCTCGTGCTTCTATCATTGGCCATGATGGTGAGGATTTTTTTTTTTCAACAGAAATCTATGAACCTAAAATTAATGAATTAATATCTGTGTTTTTATTCCTTTCTTCCACCAAGCATGGATTTTAAGTTGTACTATATAGGATGCATAAAATATGAAAACAGTAGAACTTGAACTCTGCACGATTATGAAGAACTGAAGTTTGAGCAATGCTAGGGGCACTCGCCTCTTGCACTCTCCGCCCAACACTTCCCCTTTCATTAGGCCACGTAAGCTTGTTTTAGGGTTGAAGTGAACCTCTTACGGAAACTACAATAACGTGGCCCAATGAAAGGGAAAGTGTTGGCCGGAGAGTGCAGGGGGCGAGTGCTCCTAGCACTGCTCCTGAAGCTTCAATCAAAATTTGACTAATTGGCAGAGTAACCAGAGTTGTGTTTAAATTGTGGACAGCATCGGCTGTCATGTTAAGTTGTTCGTTGTTATCTAACTGTTATTATCTAACCGTATCGGCTTTTAGTTTTTAACTGGCTCATAACCTAATGCATTTTCTTGATAATTTCCACCTTATTCTGTGTATAACCTTTTGCTTCCATGGATGAAGGTGGTGCCTGCTCCATTTCTGTGTTCAACAATGACATTGGGAGTGGTTCTGTTTCTCCCATTATTGTGATTGGTGGTAAAAATGGTGACATCGGACTTCATGACTTCCGGTACATAGCTACCGGAAGAACCAAAAGACACAGGTACCGTGACAGTGGTGAACCAAGCAGCAACACATCTAATGCAGACACACGGACCCAAATTTCAGATCAGAATCTGAATGGAATGCTATGGTACATACCAAATGTACACAATTTCTCTCTGATTCTGAACCACCCATGAACCATTTACTTCTCTAATGTTTATATGATATGATCGGAATGAAGGGAGTATCACCAAGATATCGACCATACCAAATACCAGTTTGTTCTCAACGGGAAGCAAAGATGGCGATGCCAAAACAGCCAAGATGGTGTGCATCACTAGTCGAAATTGCACGACAGACACACATTTCTACAACCAAACTCTCGTGGTTTTGGTGGTATTGTCAGGGTAATCATCTATTATCCGTTGCACAATATTACATTCTGTTTTATGCCTGCACTAGAGTGGTAAGCTTATATCAAATAATGTCACAGGTTGCTGTTACTGATATACAACTTACATCACATGGTTTTCTTTCATGCAGCGGAGATGGCTCCGTAAAGCTGGTTCAGCTCAAAGATCATCCACATTAGACCTGAAAGTTGCCTCTCGATCAGAGCAATAGAGAATGAAACTTGACAGAAAATGAAAGCGGGGCTCCACAAGCTTACTTCCATCAATGGAGCCCGTCGGGGGATAAGGATATGTTTAGTGCACCTTGCTAGAGTTTTTAGTTTTAGAGTATTGTTTATGAGTAATAAGTTTAAATTTTTATCAAAAGTAAAATTTAAAAGTTGTTTTTAGTGATAAAAAAAATAAATAAAAAGAAAATTTATGAAAATTTAAATTTAAAACTTTTGACTTTTACCTATTTAGGATCTTTTTAAAGATAAAAAAAATTTAAAAATATAAATTTTAAAAAATAATTTAAATTTATAAGATATAAATAATATCAAAAAAATTGAAAAATTGCACCAAATATACCTTAAATGACATATTTTAGAAAAAAATATATAATATTATAATTTAAAAAAAAATAAAAAAAAATTATAAAATTATATATAAAATTATATTAAAAAATTATCTTTCAATCTTTCTTTTTCTTTTTCTTTTTTTTCTTTTTTTTTATCTTCCTAAATAGCTATGATAATTGTTGGCAGTGAGGGAAATAACGTAGAATCCACGTGTGATAGGAATAGGTTTGCTACCTCTCACCTCATTCCGGCCTCACCGCGAGTTGGAAAGTGCAAACTACCACATAGACAAAGTCAAAAGAAACTGCAATTTATTTCGACAACAACATCAATCTAACTTTAATGGTTTGTATTCTTGTAAAAAAAATGGTCTAATCAAATCATCAACCGACATATCCGCATATTTTTGGTGAGGAAACAAAAACATGGCTTCTACTTCTACACAATCGCAATTCAAGCAACAAGAAACCATGGGCACACGCTGATATGGATGCCCTCGCATTGGGACCTTCCTTCATATTTACTCAATCTTCAACTTATCAAAATAAAAAGTTATTTTACAACTTAATTCATTAATTTTTAGAAGATTAAATATCTCATAAATTTTTTTTATTCATAAAAAATATTTAACTAATAATCTATTAATTTAAATGAAGAGAATTTGATTTTGAATAATGTGATATAAAAATATGTTTTGAAAAAATTTTACCAAATCTGACTTAATTTGACTCTGAATTAGTAATATAACTTTCAAAAAAAGAATATGTTTTTTTTTAACAGTGATAAAATGATATAGATACAAAACACTTAATAACTCTAAAATCGAATCAACGGTTTGTTGTTTAAATGAAAAATAATTTGATTTCTCTTAAATAAGATTTCAACTTTAAGTTTTATAAATGAAAAAACAGATGTTAAGAGAATTTTTTCTTAATAGAGTTTGACTTAATTCAATTTCAGATTAATCGAAATCTAATGTAATTATTAAATACTAAAAAATTAATAAAAAAACTCTAACATATATTAATTTAAAATTATGTAAAACTTCATATATAGACAACTTGCTTACGCATACAAAAACAATGTAAAAAAAAAAGTTTAAATTACAAATAATAACAATAATTAATTACTTAGGTGTTATCATGAGGGCCGAAAGCGGTGGGTGGATTAGACCGGAGATTTATCATAGTTTTATTAAATCTCTGAATTTCCATCAAGATAGCAGCTCCTATCTTCTATATAAATCGGGACCCACCACCAACCGTTGATGATCCAAGTCATCAGCTACGTGTGCATCAATCAACTGCCCACAAAATTTATCAACGCAGACGTAAATCAATCCAACCCAAAACGTCGCCGTTTCATCATCTCACTCCCTCCACATTGTACCGCTGAGATGTTCATGCTTGAGTTGAAAAGGTCCTGTTACTTGCGGAAGCGGACAGAAGAAGAATGGTTAACTGAAAAACAAAAGAAAAAAAGCTTGACACCTTCAAAACCAACCAATCTTCACCACTGTCCTTCTCTAAAAATTCATCCGTTTTTCTGAAGAAAACCGTTTGTTTTACCCCGGTTCTTTTCTGGGTTCTGTTTAGATCTATTTATGCCGTATCCGTTTTCCCTTCGCCATTTAGTCCTTTGCCTTCTTGGGTTTGTGCTCTTTCCCTTTACTTGGTTCTATCCTTTTGTTTTTGCTGATAAAGGATCTTGCTTTCTCGTTTTTCGCTTATTGGGTATCTGCTCTTGGTGCAAATATTTTAGATTATTGTCTTTGATTCATGCTCCCTCTTTTTTTTATATGATTCTGTTGTTGGGGTGACTGAATTATAAGCCTTTTGTAAATTATATTTAACTTTCTTGTTTAATGTTGTTTGGCATATCATGGCTGTTATCTGAGATTGTTTCAGTTATAGATTTGTGTGTATGTTTCTGCTTTCTTGTTGACAATGGATATACCAACCGTTTCTTTAATTTTTAGCTATTATTTTGGTTTTGTTGCATTTTTTAATTGTTAGTTTGATGATAAGTTTGGGGTGATTTTAGTGAATATAGTCATGATTTACATTTTAATTTTTGTAATCTTGTTGATCCTTTTCAAGTTTTTTCTCTGGTTGATTTTGTAAAGAGGGATCTGTCTTTGTTCAGAAGCTAAATTAGTTGCTTTAGGTGTTGAATCTGTACATATTAAATGTAATCATTGCTTGAAGTTCATTCACTCTTAGCTTCCAACATACCCTTTTTGATGGCTATGCATCTTTTGACTAGCATTTTAGAAAAGTTTGTTGCTTTTGTAAGTATATTATTTTGTTGGAGTTTTCTTCAAAAGAAACAAGGTTGGTGTGCCTTAGGAATAAATCTGTTAGCTACCTCCCTATATTTTTTCTCTTTTGCGGTTGAACTTTTGCATCTAGATATTTCGTTTTAGGATTTTAGGGCTGGTTCTTTGGATCATTCTTTGCTTTCTAGGAAGTTCTTTATGTTTATACAGGTTGCTTGATTCTTTAATGGCACATCTTTTTCTCAAGCATGCTGTGATTTGCTTCAGTATATATTGAATAATTCCTCTTGATTGAAGTATGTTTGTGTAGTATGTGTAATGGTTTGAATTTTTGTAGCCTTGTAATTTGTTCACCAATCAATATGGATCCTCAGTAAAAGTTAAGATGCCCAATGTCATGTGAGGTTTCCTTTGAATTTCATCCTGTTTTACTTTTAACATGTATTTGAAAATCATTCTTTAACATTTACTAAATTTATAAATTGCACACCAGCATATTCAGCAATTGTTGTGATGGTCTTGGTAGTTCTTATTACATAACCTTATTGAGATAAGTAGCTTCAAAATTCTCTCCTTTTTGCCTTGGTCACTTGTTGGTAACTAGTGGTTATTTTGCACAGCTAAATGCATCAAAGAAGGGTATTGTGATGGCAGCAGCTGAAGCTAGAGCTGTGTGGCAGAGAACAGCTAACCGTTGTTTTGTCCAGGAAGATGCCAAAAGAGCTCCCAAGTTAGCTTGCTGCCAGTCATCAACTACATCATCCAAACAGTCTGATTCTAGCGCCACAGGTGCAGCAGACACTCCAGATCATACTGGGCTAGGTTTTATGCCTCTCAATTGGAACCCTTCATATGCCAATCTTCCACCTGACACAAGGTGGTGGCTTCAACTGCAACCTTGCTATGGACACCACAAGGGCTTAACACATGATCAGTTAATTGCCTTGGAGAGTGAAATAGAAAGCTTGAAAGCCAATATTGAAGACTCACTCTCTATAGAAAGTGGAGACAACCCATCAGATAAGAAAGATGCTACTGGTGTTGACAAAAGAAAGTGCACTGAATACAGAGCCTCTTCCATTGAAACGGATTGGGATGCTACAGTTAGAAAGCAAGAGTTAAAGGCTTTCCCTAGTAAGACCACCAAAGAATTTCTTGAATTAACAGACACAGGAAAGAAATACAAATTGGAGATGGAACCAGTGGAGTTCCCAGTGTCCAAAAAATCCCGTCATTCCTCTTTTGATCCAGTATCTCCCTGGGTTGGTGGTGACAAGACAGAACCATGGTGGCGCACAACAGATAAAGATGAACTTGCCTCCTTGGTTGCACAAAAGTCCCTAGACTACATTGAGAATTGTGACCTTCCCCCACTTCAGAAGATGCAAGCTCAGAGATACCCACATGATGAAGCTTCATCGTTGGATTGGAAGGCCCAAACTGGCTGTATCACTAGCCCAATGGTTAATGCACCCGTCTCTCCTGATTCTGAAGGTTCAGAAACAAGACACAGGGCTTCAGTTGAAGAAGGAAACAGACAAGGTTCTGACAAGCTCTCAAGGTATTCATCTAGATCATGCCTTTTAAGTGGCTTGCATCCTGGTTTCATTCATTTTTTAAGCTTGAGAATGGTTAAATATGAGAACAGTGAAGTTGAATGAATTCTTAGGTGAATATTTTTCTGCATCTGTTTCCAACCAATTATTGAAACTGAGAATAAGACCTCTCATTAATTTATGCATGAACCATGAAATTCTGTTTTGGTTGACCTTTTTGACTTGCTACCTCAAAAATTTTGTAGCACAACCCATAAGGATATTATGGAAACACACGTGACTGGGACTGATCCTGCCAAGGCTCAGCTATTAGAAGCTCTCTGCCACTCACAAACACGTGCAAGGGAAGCTGAAAATGCAGCAAAGCAAGCATATGCCGAGAAAGAGCATGTCATCCAGCTCTTCTTTAGACAGGCCTCACAACTCTTTGCCTATAAGCAATGGCTCCAAATGCTGCAGCTAGAAGCCTTTTACTTCCATGTCAAGCAAAACGGGCAGCCAATCTCAACTTTCTTCCCCGCCGTTCTTCCATGGAAGCCTTACAAAGGTAGGGTATTGTGGAAGAACTGTCAAAAGGGTAAACGAAGGAAGCAAGTACGACCTAGACCCAACGTAACCAAGTATACTTTGGCTTTTGCATTGGGGTTGAGTCTTGTTGGTGCTGGATTGCTGTTGGGTTGGACTATTGGGTGGATGTTGCCTTTCTAGACAATATAAGGGTTTCGATGAAAGACTACACTCCATTGTGAAGATTGATTTGTGTTGAGAAATGGTTGAATTTGTATTCATTCTCTTCATGAATGTAAAGATTTTTATCCCCGTACATTGTTGAGACCCTATATCAAACGTAGCCATCGTCCTTTCCAGAAGAAGTGTCCTTAGTGTACAAATGGTATGATGAGATGTTTTGTGTGTATATTTGGCTGACCAATCGAGCAATGTCTCATTGAATTCCTATTTGAAGGAGTTATATATTTGGTTACCTTCATCTATTCTGCTCTTTCAGTTGGTAACTCAATTGTTACTTTTTAAACGTTTGTTACTGAAATGTTACAAAATAAAAAGGTCAGTGACTGACTTCTTGTAACATTTAGGTTAAATGCTAAATTTGGTCCCTCAACTTTAGTGAGTTACACATATTTGGTCCCTTAACAATTTTTTGCACTTTTTTGATCCTTAAACTTTAAGAAATGCACTCTGTTAATCCTTCTGTTAATTTCGATCGTTAACTCACTCATGTGGTATTTATTATTATTTTTTTGATGACGTGGCAAAAACAAATTGAAAACGTGTTGATGTGGATTTTTTTTTATGATGTGGATTTTTTTTTATGCCAACTCATGATTACTATTTATATTTTTTTTTTTTTAAATCTGTCTTCTTCCTTTCTCTTTTTCTTCCTCTTCTTCCTCTTCTTCCTCGGGTCAAGCCATTGAACCCAGTTTGCTGGGTTCAACGGAACCCCGCCTGGGTTCCAGTGAACCCAACAACTGGGTTCCATCGAACCCAGATTTGCTGGGTTCGACGGAACCCAGAACCCAGCTCCACTTTTTTTTTTTTTTGTTTATATAATTGTTTGCCAAGAGATTATTCAAATTGCAGGTTGTTGCGAGGTATTTTTGGGCAATTGCGAGGTATTTTTGGGCAATTGCAGGTTGTTGTGAGGGATTTTTGGGCAATTGAGTTCAGTGAATCGAGCTTGGTTCGATGGAACTTATTTTCTGGGTTACATTGAACCCAGATCTATTGGGTTCTATCGAACTTCAATTTTGAAAATGGAAAGAACACCATTTATGGAAAGATGAAAAACAGTAACCAATGGATTAGTGGTGATGTGGGACCCATTTGGATGAATTTGGCGCGATTTCGCCAGGTAGCATGTGACATGGCAAAAGTTTTATGCATATCATCACTTTTTTAAGTTTTGCTCTCCACATCATCAAAAAAAATATAAAAAATGCCACCTAAGCAGGGTTAACGGCACAAATTAACAGAAGAACTAACAAAGTGCATTTTGTATAGTTGAGGGATCAAAAAAGTGAAAAAAATTGTTGATGGACCAAAAATGTGCATTTCATAAGTTAAGGGACCAAATTAAGCATTTAACCTAACATTTACCCCTTTTGGTCTGAATAACAAAAGGGTAGATCGGTCATTTGAGTCGACCTTCTGGAAGAACTGAAAAAAATACCCGACCCGAATTGACTTCCCACAAATAGGTGGTTTGATTCAGAACCCCCTTTGCATCCATCGAATTTCGACGGACCGAAGGAAAGCGAGGAACTCCGACCGAAGAAACCAGAAGAAGGTGAAAGCACGAGAAATCGACGGAGAGATGGCGGTGATGGAGAAGCTGAAGATGTTCGTGGTTCAGGAGCCAGTCGTTGCAGCTTCTTGCTTCATTGCTGGTGTTGGTTAGTTCCTTTACTGTTTAAATCCGAACATTTCTTAAATTTTCTCGATTACCTGGTGTTGTACTTGTAATCGATTGTTTTTCCGTTTTCTCTTTGGAGATGTATTTCTTTTAACCTGAATTTGTGGGTTTTCTGGTTTTCATTTGAAGTGCTGTGGTATAGTGTTCTTCAATTTAGAATGTGCTATGGAATTACCATTCCTCTAGTTGTTTTCTGATTTGATCGACTGTGATTTGGGATTCCACTTGATTATGCGGAAACAAGGAAGGAATTTTATGTTGAGAATGGTTTTCTGGTAACTGAATCGGCGGATCTGTTGTTTGCAAGTTGAATCCTCGGGGCTTTTTATTCTGTGTTGTTTTGAGTTTCACTTCAGAGTTGCTTTCAGTTGATGTTTATTCCATCACCCTTGATTGATTTCAGTAACGATAATGTCTATTAGTCAACCTGGGAATTGTTAGTAATTGGGTTATTGTTTGGTTGGGATATTAATAATGCTTCTATTGCGCTTTTGCAAGCAAATTTATTTTGTTTTCGCTCTCAATACTCTAATGAGGTACTTCCGGATGCTTCATAGATGGCATCCTTGATGTGTGGCTGGAGAGGAATCCTTTGGCATACTTGGTTGTTAGGATTGTCAATTGTAGATTATTAACTGATGTAGTATGTAATTCTATGAGATAACATGGAGGAAGTCTAGACATTAAAGGATGCTTTAGGTGAGAAACCATTGAGTTTCAAATGACAACATGCATCATGGTTGGAATAAATTGTAATATGTAGAGCTTGAGGATGAAGAGAGAGTGAGCCTAGGGAGTTTCAATTTGGGTTTAAATGTTTTCAGGAATTTTTCATTATAAAGGTACTCTCAAATTATATACTAAGATTGAGATTATTCCCACTGTGATTTGTGTAAAGGGATATTCCATTTTATTTCTAATCAGCTCTACACGTTCTAAAATTTTCAGGCCTCTTCCTTCCAGCTGTGGTGAGGCCTATTCTTGATTCATTGGAATCATCAAAGCAAGTTCGTCAACCTGCTTTGACTGATGTAAGTACAAAAATTTCAATATGATGCTATGTACTATATTTTAGGATGTTTTTCTTGGCTGTTAGTGTTACTTTTTGTTGAAGGTTTTAACAGCTCCGCTATATATTTGATTGGTGATATAATGTGTCAAAATGGTTCTAATGATTAGTTTTCTAAGTAAAGTAATTTGGTATATTTCTCCCTTTAGCTGGTACAGAAAATTTTAATTGTTTACTCGGTTAGGATTATCATATTTGAAAATGACTTGAGGTTGATTGATAATTATAACATCCAGTTATGGTGGTTTCATTATCATAGTTATCTTTACTGGCATCCTTATGTTTTGGAGAACAGTACATTCTTCATTCTGGCTGGCTGCATGAAGGAGCTCCTTTTTCATAACAAATAGCCCCCTTCTGCTTTCGCTGTTATAAATGGAAGTAGATAGATTTTTTTAATCTGGTGGTTGTTTTATCTACTAGATGGGTGGAATAGAAAGAAAATTGTATAGAATTGCACATAAAGGATTGTTAATGTTTCTTTACACACTCTTAAGAGAAGATCAGCCTGATTATGATGCTCTACAGCATCTGATTCAGTGCTTTTATTATTATTATTATTATTATTATTATATTTGGAAGGACAACTTTATTTTAGTTTTACTGTTTAAAACATATTAAATTTGTTGCGGTGCACCTTTGCAGGTGGTCGCAGGTGTGACTGGTAAGAAGGCCTGATGTGCTGTGTAGATTGAAAGGACTTCAGAATTTTTTTCAAGTACTAGTACACTCATTACCAATGAAATAAGCTCAAATCTTGATTATGAAACTCTTGAGATGAGAGTGATTTATTTCTACATCATCCTACTTAACATGACAACGTATGACTGTATTCTCTCTATTAATTTTAAGCAGTTGAAATTTACTGAAAACATGGATTGTTTGGTTTCTCTGCTTTCATATACTTTGTGCATTCTTTCTGCAGTTCACTTTTGTTTGTTGCTCGCCTGATTTCTACATCCAGGAAGGAGCTGGTGTATTTGCTGTAGAGTAAAAGCCTTGTTGTTTGATTTAATTGCTTGGAACCAATTTAGATATTGACGATCAACTATCCAACTTGTTCTTATTCCCTTAAATTTCAAGGTTGGATTCAGGAGCATCAATATTAGTCATTTCAACGGAGCATGGCGAGAACAATGGCAATTCGACACTGGACCATGCAGCAGCGGCGGCCTCGAGGCCCACAACTCAATACGGAGATGGGCTGAAACTTAAATTTAGTATCGTTGGGCCATCCGCAGGCCCACTTACAGAAACCCAAAACATGAGACAATTTATCGTTGGATTTGTTTAATACACTGATGTGGTGCTCAAGAATACTAGATGGGTATTTGATGTGTATTTTTAGTGTGAATCAAGACTAACTTAAAAAAGGTTAAAATTAAAATTTTAACTTGAAGTCTCATATAAAAAAAATACATATCAATTTCGATTATTAAAAAAATTAAAGTTTTAATCTTAAATTATTTTATTTTATTTAATTAAAACTTAATTTAAAATTTAAAAATTTATCTTATTTTTAAAAAAATTGATTGAATGTTTAAATTTTAAATTAAATTTTTATATTTTATTTATTTTTTTAATTAAGACTAATAAATATTAATCCCATATGTATATATATTATATTAACAATTGCCATACTTGTCTGGCCGAATCCCTTAACCCCCAAAAGTTGGAGTTCTACATGGTGCCACTGGCACTGCCACTTGCGGCTACATTTATTGTTGGTACTACATGCAGAAACTTCAACATAAATTTACATGCTAAAAGCATATAAGTCTATCCAAAATCCGCTTGCACAGAACAGGCCCACATCAATGGGAGAAATCATATGTATACCCTAAATTCCATACATCATTTTTATGAATTGCATAAGAAGAGAGAGAAGAAAGGCATAGGAAACACCACATAATTTGGATGCATCTAAAAAAGTACCAGTGCCAGTGTCAGACGACAGATGGCAATAATGGGGTACAGTTCAGCTCACTGACCCTTCCTTCTTCACCCCTTTCCCTTTACTCCATGGAACTGCCTGTTTCAATCCTTCATATATACCAGCCTGCCATGCCAAAACAAAACTAAAGTATTAAACCCCTAGAATTTTGTTTATTTAGGAAAAAAAGGTATTATACAATCTTAACCATACTAAGTTTTTGTAAAAAAAATTTACAATTTGAGAGAGGAGAGATTTTTTTAAGATGTTAATAAAACTCAAGACCTTAATCATCAACTAACTTAAACACTTGAGACGAATCACTTGAATCAAAAAGTCCAGCTCCTTAATCATACTAAATTATATAATATAAATTATTAAATAAAAATAAACCCTCAATTATGGTTAAGAAAAATCTTTAAAAAAAATCAACCACACCTATGATTATTAATAATAATGTTATAATTATTAAAATTATAAATTATTGTTTTTAAAGATATAATTGATAATAATGATTATTACTATAATTATTAACTATAACTAATACTAAATTTACATCATTTATATTTTTTAACATTGTTTAAAAAAATTAAAATTTTGGTGAAGTTAACAATTTTGATGGTTGCTATGACGACTCCAAGAAAAAACCCAGTTCCAATTTTGGGTGGCTTTGATTAATATAATTAATTAATTAAGATTTATGCATTTGTATTGTAGACAACTAGCTAAATTAAGCTTACCCTCTTGTCAAAAACAAATAAATAAATAAATATAAGCTCACCCAGAAATGTATTTAGCTTCAGTTCAAAAAAAAAAAAAGAAGCTCACCCAGAAATGTGACTTGGCATGGGATAGATTAGGAGAACTCCTAATTCTTCTAACCCTGGTGATCTTCACGGTGGTGCTGCGGCCGATGTCTTCCCTTTCACGGCCGGAATCACTTTCTCTATCCACGGAAGACGGAAACACGTAACTACCCCTAACAACACCTCTTTCACCCTTCAAGGCTCTTTTCCTCCAGAACCCAAGAATCCCTCTGTCTCTCCGCTGCCCTTTCTTGCTAACAACCACCGCTCCATAAGGAACCACCGCCTCCGGGCTGGAGTTACCGGTGGAACGAAAAGAACCGTAGCAATCGCCTCCCATTCTGAACGAATTAGACTGAAACCTCGACGACCGGCCAATGAACGAGCCTTCCAAGAGATCGGTGGCGGGCGAGGAGTGTTTGCCCATTCTGAGAGACTGAAACCTGGACGTACGACCGATGTACGGACCTTCCAAGACGGTGGTAGGCGAGGAATACTGTTTTGATTCCACCAGCAACCTTGGAGGCAGTTCAAGGCATTTCTGGGCAGAATCCTCCCGAATCGAGAACGTGGAAAGCGCGGTGCATGGCTTGGGCTTCCCCGGCTCCTCTTCCCAGCGAAATGGGACGGAGGCGGAAGGTGGGGTGGACGCCCCTGCTCTCTCTGGCGTCTGCATTCGCACAAGAGTATGCGAAACTGAAAACAGGGGAAGCCTCAGTTCTGAAATGGACTCCTTCTTCAGATCAGAACCCATGATTGTTTCTTGAATCTCTCTGTTTGCGTGTGATTTATAGAGGGGAGACTTTAGGTTTTGTACCGTAAACATGAAGGAATGAACCCGTGGGGAGGACGAGATGGAGAAAAGGAAAGGTCTCGATGGAGAAAAACTGAAAAGCAGAAGGAAGATAAGTCAATCAGTCGTATCAGTGAAAGAGGGAATGCTACCAAAAGGCCGTTACTATAATAATGTTCGATATGAGCACTACTCTTCTCCTACTTTGGAAATCAATGTATTCTTTCTTAAATCTTAATCTTAAGCTTTGTTTGCAACCGCAATCCCATTAATTAGGGTTTAAACTTGAGAGGATACGGTGCAAGACAAAAACTTCTCATCTACTTTAATATGGAAATTGGGGTTTCTCTGGGTAGAACAAATATATTTTGTATGAAAAATTATTTTGAGACAATTTTTTTATCACATTTTAGTACTATTTGATATGTCTTTTAAATGATTAATTTTTTAATTTATGTGAGACCTGTGATATTAAATATATTTACTTATTTAATAAAATGTAAATGTTATATCAAAGGACAATATAAAAAGATTATTCCTATAGTATCACCTATTTTTTATAGATATAAATAATATATTAATTTTAGCTATGGTTTTAATTGGATTACTAATAAAATTAATGTTAATTTTTTTTTATAAATATTAATGATAAAAAAGTATAATAAATATATAATTAGATATAGTTAAAAAAAGACCCATAAAAATTTGAATAGGATATCATTTATTTTAATTCATATTAAGTGCAGTTTAATTAATTATTGAAGTCAATATCATTAATGAATTATTATGAGAAAAAAAAAATATGGGTAAAGGTACCTTAATAATATTAATTTCATAAGCTTTTTTTGACGGTCTATAATAATTTCATAACTTGAATGGCATATCTTGTGAAATCCAAAAGGAAAAACATATTTTAAATTTGAAAAATTAAATTAAAATTTTTTTTAAAAAAAAGATAAGAACCACCACTATTTTTTTCTATTTTTTTTATTAAATGATGTGGCCTATTCTAGTGTAGAAAGTGATGTTAAATTGCTATCAAAATTGTTTATACAGTATTTTTTAAACAAATTGGTTTCAACTACAAGTATATGCTCATCATTTTATAAGAAATAACATTGTATATAAATAATTTTTCATTCAAACAATATTTCTATAAAAATTCAATTAGGCAAAATGGGTTTTTAAGTAAATCATAAACTATGAAATATTAAAAGATCAATCCATTAAATGAAAATAAATAAATAAATTACAAGATACCTTGATTAACTTTGTAGAAGATCAACTCTAAACACCTACCTTTGTTTAAAAATAAAATTGGAATAAAAAGTCAGACATGGGAAACCATGGAAGAAAGAACCTACTACTTTGCGGAAGCCTTTAGTTTTATTGAACCCTTGCATTCAAATTAAGAAATGTAGCAAAACACAGGAGAAATTGGAAGAGACATTGGAGATGATGTCTTCGAGTTTTGGACCAATGTGAAAATTTTGTATCGTAGTCAAGACCTCACCTGATCTACTGCAACTTCATAGGATGCCAATTTAGGTGCGACGGAGAATTGCTGCCTTCTCCGAGACACTTTTTGCTTGGTCCACTCCACTGATTAACGTGTACCATACCCTGTCAAGTGTCAACTACATATCCCAAATGCAAAAGGGGAAGTCGCAAAAACACGTGCTTTGTTGGATTCAATTTAGCTAATTAAACGCCGTACTTTCATATTTTTTCGCCACGATGCCTCGGTGGAAAAAGCGAGCAACTCAAGGTCAATAATTGTCAAGTCTGAGAACAAAAAAACAAAGAAATTAAAACTCAAGGATAATTACATTGCACCTGCATCTCTTTTTTAACAAATTTTCTTGAATCAACACATGAATATCAATGGTTGCTGATCATATATATATATATGTATGTATATGAATCAATGGTTTCTGTTTAAAGAAAAAAAAGTATGAAAAATCAATGGTTCCATCAAAAAATATATAAGTCAATGGTAGGACGTCGTGGATGATTGACACTTGCATCAATGAGGTTTGTAGGATTAGGGTTTTTTTAGGACAAGGAGTAGTGGAAGGGAAATGCATTAATTTTTTGCGATGCACAAAAATATAGTGTAAGATAAGAACTTGCCCCAGACAAGCAAAGCCAAAATTAATTAGCAAAACAACAATACCTATTTTAAACGTTTCTCTCAAGCTTTCCATGAAAAAAAAAAAAAATCTTTTCTCTCAAGCTATTGTACATGCATGATTTTGAGATATAAAATCTTTAGCTAGAATTTATTTGTGTCGGCAACAAATAGACTATTGGAAGACAAAATTTTGAAACTAATTACGTGATTTATATTACGTTATTAATTAATTGATATATAATATTATAAATTTTAAAAAAAATAAAAATT